CCTGTCTGTTCTCACTGTGGGCTTTGGGCTGGCCGGAGCAGAGAAACAGGGTCTGAACCTCGCAGAGGGAAGCTTTAATGTCCTGGTTGTTCGGTAAGCAGGGTGAAATTCATCTGGTTGTATTCCTTCATCATTGCAAAGGAAAGGAAGGAATAATTCAGATCAATCATGCAAATGTCTTAGCATTTTGGATTGCTCTTCAGAAATTGAAAAATTTCAGCATTTTTTCAAGAAGCAATTTTTAGCAACTTATTATAAACCAAGTGCCTTGTCATGTGATATGTTTGAATTTCTGTAGAGCTTTAAAGGAGGAAAATCTCTGTTAAAATCAAATGGTTTGCACCATGCTGGTTTTGTGGTATGTGCAATGCTGTCCAAATCTAATTTGTACAGTTTAGTTTTGAAGTGTTTGGTTTTCACTGTAAAAGTGCAGAGTGAGAGATGATAACACCGTTGTGTAGCCCAAAAAAAAAAAAACTCTTGGCATCAAATATAACAATTTGCTCTAGTGGCCCAAAATTTCCAGTCAGCCATCAAAAAAGTCTCAACTCATAATATGCATAATATATAATCACATTATAAAAGCTTTTCTACTTAAAGTGAGAGCCTTTTGGATGGACGTGATTCATTTAAACACCAGATGATGGAAAAGCAATGACGACCTTTTGCTTTATTATTGTTGGAGTTGTTTGTAATGGCACTCTGTTTCTCTCAGGGTGACTGTCCTGGCTGCAATATGCACCACTCAGGCTTTTATGATGTGGAAATTTATCAACTTCCAGCTACGACGATGGAGAGAACACGCACCGACTCAGACCTTAAAGAAGAAATCATCCTCTTCTAAGAGCAAATCAAAGAAAGGTCAGTATTGCCCACTTAAGATCAGTTTACACGTTTATTCAAATACCACACACTATTCTGATGTTCCAGTTAGGGGTGGGCGATATGAGTCATTTTCGAGGCTGCTGCCACTTTATTTTACCAATATACAGACATGCATCTGATTTTCTCCCAACTGTTTACATTCCCTTAAGACATAAGCGTTTACATAAATACTTGCCAAAATGGCACTTTGACAATTTTGTATGTATCTGACCATCGAAACGCAGAAAGCCAATAAAGACAACTAGGTTCTGGATTGTATGCTGTCTGAGAGATGTGCATGTTTTGGGTGTAAGTCAGCGCAAGTACTGTACCGAGTTCTTTTTTTGCGGCTTATTGCACTTAAAGGGATAGTTCACCCAAAAATGAAAATTCTGTCATTAATTACTCACCCTGATGTTGTTCCAAACCTGTAAGACTTTCGTTCATCTGATGTCACATGGACTATTTTAAAGATCTCCTTACTACATTTCTGGACCTTAAACACATTGCTGTCTATGGAGGGTCAGAAAGCTCTCATATTTCATCAAAAATACCTTAATTTGTGTTACGAAGATGAACGAAGGTCTTACAGGTTTGGAACGATATGACGGTGAGTAATTAATGACAGAATTTTCATTTTTGGGTGAACTATCCCTTTAATAACACTCTTTAGCAAAGCACATCTAGAATCTACATTTAAGCAATAAAGTACTTCAGGTTGTACTGTATTGTGAATATAGAGTTGTTTTTAAAGCGTATTGCTTTTATTAAGCAAAATCATTAAATTTAAAGATAATTTGTCTAACAATGAAAATTGTCATTTACTCACCCTCAAGTTCTTCCAAGCCTGTATGAATTACTTTCAGCTACTGAACACAAAGGAAGATATTTTGAAGAATTTTGGTAACTAAACAGTTGATGGTAGCCGTTGACTTCCATAGTATGGAGAAAGAAAAAAAATACTATGAAAGTCAATGGCTACCGTCAACTCTTAGGTTACCAGGATTCAGCAAAATATCTTCTGTGGTCGGCAAAAGAAAGAAACTCATTTTAGGAACAAGTGGAAGGTGAGTAAATGGTGACAATTTTCATTTTTGGGTGAACTATCTCTTTTAGTGGCATCTTTCTACCTAGAGATGCACTACAGGGCAAATGTTTGAAATAATATTTTTTTACTTTTTGAAAGAAGTCTCTTATGCTCATCCAGCTGCATATATCTATTCATAAATATAGTAAAAATACAGTAAAAACAGTAATATTGTTTAAAATGATTACAATGTGACTAGGGCTGCACGATATATCGTTTCAGAATCGATATCGCGATGTGCGCATCCGCGATAGTCACATTGCGAGATGTGCGATGTTTAGTATACTGATTGTTATATTTATACTGATTGTTTTCTTTGAACACACAGACACCGTGTCTACACCGGACGTGAAAAGCGACAGTTGCAAATCATTTGACCTTTGTGTCAGTTTGTCATAAATAAAACTGTCAGGGATTTGTCGTGTCACGCCACCCACATCTAGTGTATACAGCATCACTGATTATATTGTGTTCTTTAATATTTTGACGAGTCGTGCCACGCCGCTCGCGTCTGGTGTACACGGTGAGAGCCACGCAGATGCATGTGAACACTGAATTCCATTCACTTGCACGTCTATCTGTGCCTGAAATGACACATACATGCGAAATTGTCAAAATGCATGTCTCTGCAAGTATCCTTGTAAACACAGGTGCTTATGGTTTAGGTGAAGGAAAACAATTGAGAAAGAAAATGGATGTGTGTAACAGTATATGGGTTCACAGCAGTTTAATGTTCCTGAGGCTTTCTGTGTCACGAATGTTAATCAAACCACAAAACACAGGAAAAATCACTTTCGTAGCTTTAAAACTGATTTATTAGATTTAATTTATACAGTGAAGACTATGTAGTGTTATTTTACATTTGATTATTCAATGTCTGTACCTGAATACTATTAGGCTTACCTAAAAAAAAATATATAAAGCACTGTTTATTTCATTTGTATCTTTGTTCTGTTATATTTATCCATGCTTGCAATTTGTTTATTTTCTATACTGATTTACTCGCCTACAAAATCACCCTAATCATTGATTATTTTTATTCAAGTCATCTGGTGTGTTTTTTTTTTTTTTCAATATCGCAATATATATATATATATATATAGCAGAAAAACAAAATATATCGCAATGTGAGTTTTTTTTTTTTTTTTTCAATATCGTGCAGCCCTATATGTGACGTGAAGTCCAAGTAATGGTAACCCATATTCAGAATTTGTCTTCCGTATTTAACCCATCCAAGTTTGTGCACACACGTTAGGAGCAGTGAGTAGTGAACACACACACAGCCATAGCAGTGGTGCCCGAGGAGCAATTAGGGTTTAAGTGCCTTCCTCAAGGGCACCTCAGATGTGGGTATTGAGTGTGGCAGAGAGCGCTGTTCAGTCACGTCCCCCACCGACATTTCCTGCCAGTTTTGAGACTCAAACCTGCAACATTCGGGTTACAAGTCTCTATGACTCTCTAACCATCAGGCCACAACTGCCCCTATTTAAAAGAACTGTTGTCATTGCTGGAGTAATGACTGCTGAAAATTCAGCTTTGCCACTACAAAAATAAATAACATTTTTAAATATATTAAAACAGAAATAAGATCTTTTAAATTGTAATTATTTCTGATTTTGTATTGCTTTTACTGTATTTTTGATCGAATAAATGCAGCCTTGGTGACTATAAAGAGACTTTTTTCAAAAACATAAAAGAATTGATTATCCCAAACCTTTGAAAAATAGTAACAGCACTTCAGGTGTCCAGACAACAAAATCACTTGCGTCAAGCATCTTCTCATTTGTATTTTCACAGCCAATGGTGTGAACGGATCTGTTGGTGCCAGTGGAGCAGATTCCCCAAGAGCGAGGAAGGAGAAGTCATCATAAACTGCTCTTGGTCCCAACTTCTGTCCTGGCTGAAATCAGCCTGATCATTCCTCTCCCTCCTCTTTGTCCAACAGTTTATCTGTAGCCCCTTTTCCCTTTCCCCTCTTGTTTATCTGAAGAAAGAAAAAAAACAACTTGCAATATGGCAACATCCTCATCCTGCTCCTTGATACTGAATGCTGTATTTCATGAAGCCATCCAACTATTATGTCTCTTTGCAAGAAGGGCTTAAGGAAAAGTGGCTTTGGGGGATTTTGGAGGGGTTCTTTTTATTCCCCCCCTACATTTGTTTCCTTATTTTGAAGGTCCATATGCTCTTTGCTTTATTTGCTTAATGCTGCAATCCCAAATCCGAATCTATGATCCAGCCATACCTACAAAGAAAACATGAAAGCTGTGGGGAAAATGTAACTTATTTTTACAAGTGCCTAACCATACATCATTTTGACAGATCAGAGAGGAATAATTCAGTATTTTAACTCGAGTTTGAAATCAGGGTTGTATTTAAAGTTCTCTGAAGGCTCACAGTTTTTGTTGAATCTATCCTATGCGTTTAGAACCACGTCTAATGTCTCTTCATTTGTGTTGTATAAACGCATTCACATTTTTCATTTAAAAAAAGATCACAAGCAAAAATTTTCATTTTATGCCTTTTTTTAATGAAATCCATTTGTTGCACTGTACTGCATAATTGGTCAAGTTAAGCAAAAAAGTGTAATGCTCCACAAATTTTGTTAAATTAGCAAAGGATGATGAACAAAAGCTGTGTGCTTTTGATTTGTCAGTAGATTATACCTTTTATTCTTGAACTTGGCAAATCTGACTTTGCTGTTCGGTGTTGATAACACATGAAAATGTCAAATCACAAGTGTCATTCCAGTGTGAGACTGAAGTCAGGATCTAAGGAAAAGTTCTCAGAAATCATTTTCATAGATTGTTTTGATTTAATAACAACAGTACATAGAGAAAGAAGTTCAATAAAAAAAAAGCATTGTCATCTCACATTTATTTTACCCAAGTACAACCAATGAGAAAGACAACCAGTGAATACATTAATATAAATGTTGTTTTCACAGTATTTGTCCCCATTTCACTGTATTCTTATTAGTCTATATTTGTTTTACCACATTAGAAAATAACGGTCAAAACATTTTCAATATTAGTTTTTTTTTTTGTGTATAAATTCGTGACAAGGGGTTGAATGGCTTGAACCGCTCAAAAACAGTCAAGTTTTTAAACAGCGTTTCAGTAAATTTCTACTCCGAGTTGGTCAGAAAGCGCCAAATAACACTCGTGAACAGTAACCATAGCAACAGTTCGAGAATCTATGTCATAGAAAAACGTTAGGCCTAATAATAATACAACAATTTGTTTGATAACAAATGTTATTTAATAACTTAATACGTAATTCTCAAATGAAATACAGTAAAAAAGCACACTGAAAACTGGATTTATTTCATTTTGCTTCACGAGGTAATTTTCCTTCAAATGTTGGTGTTGAACATGTAGTGGCGCTGTTCGCCAAGATTTTTCTTAGTTGTAAGCCCAGTGATATTTATTGGTTTCGCAAACCACTCTGCGCGTATGCTGTGGGTATTTTTCATTAGCAAAAGTATAAAATATGAAACCAAAATAACATTTCTATTAATGCTTTCCTGAACTGACAGTACAGTCTCTTTCGGGACGTTTCGTTGCGACAACCCCGTGCTGTTTCACAATTGTTGTCAAGCGCGTGCCAATCTGAAAGAGTGAACAGCGAATATTGCACAAGTCACTGTTTGCAGATTTCCCTTTGAGAGAATTTACATTCGCTGTAGACCTTTGATCGACACGGGTTGCAACTGTAGGATTCGTTTCGATTCGCCCGTACTTCATCTCGCTGGCTGGCTGGCTGGCGTTCACATGGAAGTATTTTTATATAGGAAATCAACCTGTCGCCGTGTGGATTTTGATCGGATACCTGACATATTTGGGGTTTATTGCTGTGCTGAGTAATCACGGTAAGCTTTGGCTTTCTGCCCGATCAAACAGTCACTGAACTCGTGGCCATTTGAGGTTTGTATTCTGGGAGAAAAGTAAGAATTGTCTGTATTTGATAACTCGATGCAGTTATGATACATGGTGGAGTACTAGACTATTGAAAACCCCCTTATGAGGTAACCCAATGAGGGCCTCCTCATTGTTTTTCCACAGATGTGCATAGCCTTTAAACGACGGCTAGAGATGTGGACTCGTAATCGAGGAAATGTGATAAATGCAAAACTAATTTAAATAGCTTTTATATCTTATTATTAAGCTATGTGTAATAACGTCCTTCAGTTATGTGACAAAATCAACATATTGATTGTTTTTCAGTATATGGAAGACTTGAGGCGATGAGATGTCTAGAAGGTGAAAAAAAATACTAATGATGGATAAAACTGGATTTAAATTGATTATTTGCTATTCTCAGACCCAAGCGCTCTTGAATTTTCTCTTATATTGCCAAGGCCTTAACTTGGTCAAAAAGGTTCTGATGTTAAGTTTGTACTTTTTGTTAAAAAAAGTTTTTATTTGCTGACAAATGTAGATTAAATGTATATTAAGAGTCATAAATCATAACACGCAGGATGTGATGTATGGAGGTCTGGAAAGCAGTTTCATGTGGGTCATCTAATGTGATTTTTAATTAAGCTGTTATGACATTGATAATAGAGTGCAGATTGCTTTGGGTTTGGAATAACAACAACACCGGCTCGACCACTCTGGCACACTTTTTCCTCCCACAGCACCACTTTAAAGGGGAAAGCTTTTGTAAACTGGCCTTTCAACACTGTTTTGATTCCCTCCCGTAATATTATGAAACATCTCCTCGCAGTTTAAAAAACACAAAGGCAGAAAATCCAATCCAACGGGTGAGCCGTGTCCTTACGTTTGCTGTATCATCATTTTGCCCCGTTGCTCACTGCAAGGTTGCTATGCAGGCTAGAGTAAACGAGTAGATACTGGTGCCCATAGTATGTGGGGGAGGTTTTGCTGGCGAGATAAACAAGCAGCCAGCCATCGTTAGGCATAAGGCAGCAGAAACATGGCGGCGGCAGTTAACTATAATGCTGTTTCACCAACCCGAAGGTCAGAGCTGGACATAACGTGCAGGATTTAAAAGGAAACAAAACACTGTAAGTCTGACATGGTTGCAAATGTTGATTGTTTGCCGGTGAATGGCGGTTTGGGGTGGCTTTGTAACGCGATTTTTACACACTCGCTGCAGGATCCAATCACAGTTCCGCGGCGGCGGTATCCTGCATTAGCTTGCTAAACCAGCTACACTCGCTATTTCAGCCTGGCTACTTTGCAAAGTTAGAGAGTTGTGTTTTGCCTGTTGTCGTTGTGTAAACAAATCGCTTTGAGCGACCTTGAAGCGGATGCACGGCTGTTATTGTTTTAACATTTCAATTGTGTCGTTGATTTACTTGATTCGACCGCGCTGCTCGCATTTGAGCGATTAAGTTTAGCCAGCTCCCCCTTCTTATTTGCCTGGCTAGCTTTAGCCTGCGAGCCTCCATCTGACCAGGCGAGGAAGGCAAGTCCAACGATATTCAGTGGTATTTTAACTTTATCTGGCAGAGCTGTTACATCGTAACGTGTGAATGGAGTTCCACTGGAATGCTTGTGTTACACTGGAGCCAGTCAGACTGTAACCGTTCTAAAGCGAGCCGCTAAAAGCAACAATGTAGCGTTCGCGGGCGCGTTCTATTGAAAGTAAACGCGCGTTGTTATTTGACAGTCTCCGCGTTTCGTTTCTGTGCGGGCTGAGATTAGTGAGTCAGCTCTCTGCTCGAACTACTGCACGCCACGGTTCGGTTTTCTGGAGCTCGACTGATTGAAGAAAGGAAAAGTTGGGGCGCCAGTAGCTGGGAATGCTGCTAATTAGCATTTACCTCGTGATTAGCCTGAACTCCACTATTTTCACAAGCGCTTATATGTGGAGCAAAGGCTGCTTTTGTCGTCCAGCTCACCGGGAGGTCTTTAGTTTGGTCGACAGAGTTTGTATCCGCCGTGACGAGGTTTAACGGTGTATGACGTCACGCCGCCGGGTAGTTCATTGGGTCTAGGTCATGTTTAGATGCACCTTAGCATTTAAGTCGTAACACCTCATATAGATACATTTGGCCTTGAATACGTGTTTTTTTTATTTGTTTGTCTACATTCTATTGTTGTTGTTTTTCTCTCTCTCTCTCTCTCTCTCTCTCTCTCTCTCTCTCTCTCTTTCTTTCATCTCTCTTATTTAATTCTCATTAAAACTTGGCAATATTGCGAGTGTGAAATTGTGAGAATAGGTTATATTTTTTTCCCCTTAAGTATTCCAGTTCATTAACGATGCCATTGACGATTTATTTTTATAACATGTTACAATGCAAGTTCCATTTGTTAACTGCTTTGGTTAATATGAACTAACAATGGAAATTACTTAAAAAAAAATTAACATGATCTAACAATGGACAGACGGCTGTATTCGTGTTAACTAACGTTAACAAAGATGAATAAATACAAATTATTACTCGTTTTTTAATGTTAGTTAATGCATCAACTAATGTCAAATCATATTAAAATATTTGGAAATAAGAAATACTATTCACTTTTACAGCCCTTAAATTTGATCAGAACAGTTACAACAAACCAGAAATAAATCACAAACAAACACTAAATTTAATATGCTATTAAAATGTGTGTTAAAAAAATGCTTTTTAATAGAATCCTTGGTTCATTTCGAGTCACAGGTGACAAAACACTTGTGATTCAGTAAGAGTGTTTTTGATTCACTATAAAGAACTGGTCCATAAGATATGTTAATGTAAAAAATCTTGTATAATATAACTTGTGTTTGTTTGTTTGCTGGTTTTTATTGTATTTGTTATACTTGTATCTTTTTTTTTATTGTTTTTGCCATGAAAATAGCCTAAGATGCAGACATGGCATTAAAGGGGTGATACGATGCTTTTTTTAAAGATCATTATTTTGTGTATTTGGTGTAAGAGAATATGTTGACATGCTTTAATGTTCAAAAAACACATTATTTTTCAAATACTGTACATTATTGTAGGTCCTCTATGCCCCAATATACTATACTGGTGATTCGTTT